TTTGGCCATGGGATTCCGAGTGGCGAGGTATGGAGGGGCGGTGCAGATGCCGGGTATTTAGCAGGCGAGCGTTATGACGTGAATACGAAAGCAGCGCTGAGGAGGCGACAAGGCGGCCGGATTTTAATACTAAGCGCAGAGCGACGTGACTCAAATGCAAACAGCCTCCTCACTCTGCACCCCGCGTCTCTGCCCGGGATTTGTTGTTCCCCGTCTTTTTTAAAATTTAGTTGTGTTATTTTCATATTTTCATTTTCTTTTTTCACACTTTTGTGGTTGTCAGAACAACGCCCTTTCCCATGAAAAGGAAGGAAGGACCGTGTTTTGTCTTGCTTACCGGCCTTCACCGCTGCATGACCCCGAAACTTTATCTGGCGCACAAAAAACTTTTTGCATTGAAACCTCATCCCGACCCTGGACCGCAGCGCTGCTCCGACACAGATATAATGGCGGGCGGGTAGTGTTCTTGCATTACACCGTTCTTGCAGTGCGGTGCACGCCCGGCACTTCATTGAGCCCTGCTCACTCTCCACTTCCACTCGACCCACCCCCACTACCCCCACCCGCACCACCCCCTCTCTGCGCTGACGCACAGGGCTCCCCCACCTCCTGTCCAACCCCGTACATCTCACTACCCTAACCTCTACACCCTTGTGGCCCCTCCACCCCCACAACCCCCTACCAACACTCCACTCCCCCTCCGCCCTCTCTCCTCTCCCCCTCTTTCTCTCCTCCGCGGTCCAGTTCATGGCAACTAACTGCAAATGTCTCCCCCACACGTACCATCTTTTCTTCTCCCTCCGCAGCCGCGGTAAAGTGCCTGGCTTCGCTTAGCGAGTGAATGGGCTGTGTACCAACTCTGTCTACTCTGTCAACTCAAATTTCGTAGATTGTCCATATGAGAGAAAGTAGATCGAGTTATGTCTACAACAAAGAATGCATACATCTGCAGGAAGAGCCCATACTGTATAACTACTCACCCACAAGCCCATTTAGTCCAAAGGACCAAATGCAAAACGGATTAAATTTTATCTCTGAAAACCAAATTTTATTCGTGACGATGAAATAATTTAGTCAAGCTGACTTAGTTTGCTTGGTGCGACCGTATTTAGTTAAAAATAAGGATTCTAAATTTTGGTCGGTTTCAAGAACTAAATTTTGTTTCTTTCTACCCTGATTTAGTTCAATCAACAAAATGGTTCTCTGAGTGTGCACGTAGACAGGATTTATAGATGTCGCTTCCTCACACGTTGGTTTCAAACCGTTTGGTCGAAACCCCATGACATTTAATATAATTCGAACACAAACTATGCCAAGAATCTGGCGGTTCCATCGAAAATGAAACTAAATTGCTAGCTTTGAAACAATGCTATAAAATGTGGAATGACACGTTGTGTCATCCCCTAGTGAATTAGCACTGTTATAAAAGTCTACACACTGCAAAAAATTAGAGTCTGATACAGAACGATCTACAGCGTTACTGTGGATGCCGCTCTTAGTCACTGCACCTAGGGTACAGAGCGCGTAGTTCAGTGTTGCTGTAGCACCGGAAAGCCCAGGATTTACACGGTACAGTGTACGAATACAGCTCCACTGTAGACAGTTTTGTCCGCGCTTTTGCCTTACAGTGGTCCTGTACATTG